TTTGTAAACAATGGACTCTGTAATGTGCATGATATTATGGCACAGGTAGAGGTTGTGAGTACGAAAATTTGGGCGTATTGTAGCCGGAGGGCATTAGCTGCTTCTTCGGCACTTTGTACTCCACCGCCTGTCGTGAAAAGTGGAGGGATTCCATGCCTCACTTTAAGAAACTTATTGACATGCCTATAGAGTAGTTTGTTGTTTGTCGTGAATTTTTTGGCTAGACACTGTTGATAAGTTATTTTGTCCTCACGGACAAGTGCAGTGCAATGGTTGCGATGGGTCAGGAAATTTCCCCAATTCTCTGCGTCGGGGTTAATCTTGTAGACACACCATGCTGCATGCCTTATCGCCAGACAATTTCGAGTCCTGCTCCTTAGAATTGAAGGCATTTTCGCGGGACAAAGCGGTTTGGTCTCTGATGCTTTGATGACGATGTCGCTGAGTGTATTAACGAACTCTGCCCAAACGTTGTCAAGGGGACTTTTGTTTGATAATTCCTAAGCAGCTTCGTCGGTGAGTTGTTTCATACGTAGTAGCGTGTGAGTGTGTGAGTTAGTTCCGAGTGTTCAGATGGATACTCTGCATAACACACATAGTCAAATGTTATTCCTGCATGGTCACTGAGACCTAATGGACTATCCATTAATAACTTGTCCAGCATGAGCTCTTCATTCGTGAGCACAAGGTCCAGTATGGACGGTTGGTTTGCTGTCCTGAATCTAGTGGGCGTGGTGACATGATTGTACAAAGGAATATTGGCGATAAGTTCATGCAAGTCTGCTTTGAACTGCTCACTGGGAGATGCCGAAACCTCCAGAGTGTTTAGATCGAAGTCCTCGGAGATGAGAATGTGGCTGTACATAGTGCGTTACTCTGTCTAGGCCACGGATCAAGCATGAATCAATTTCCAGTGTGGACGTTGGGGGGCGGTAAACGATAGCTATGAGACATGTGTCGTTATGCCTTAGTCGGAGACGGCACCTGAGTGAGTCGGTAACGTGTTTCCAGATCATCAACTATTGTACATTGTAGATCGCTGCGGTAGTAGATTAGGACTCCACCTCCTCTGCTGAGGCGGTCGTTCCGGATGAGTGATATTCCGGCTATCTCTACCTCAGCATCAGTCACCTCTTGATGCAACCAAGTTTCGGTAATAGAAATTAGGTTCCAAGCATTTGCAACCTGACGTAGTCGAAGTTCGGTAATTTTACTGAGGAGCCCTTGGGCGTTAGTGCACATACGTGAAAGTTTCTCAGATTTAAGCAATGTTTCGGAGGTTTTACAACTCATACGTGAAGTTTCGCTGACCAGTGAGTGGCGGGCGACTAATCCTTTTTTCGATGTGTACTTGGTGAAGGGTTTAACGTCTTATTCATCGTCCGTGTAGTTAGTCCCGTGTCTGATCTTCGAAGTTCAGTGTAAGGTGTCTGTTCAATATCATCTTCTACAGGTTGTAGGGCTCATTCGGCACAATATTGGTGCATTTTTCTTTCATAGATCCCATCGTGTTTGGTTCTTTGAGTGACATATCAACTCTAGGAGGCATATCGCTGATTGTCTTCAGCCGAACCTCAGATGGCAGCTTGAAACGGAATATGTACTAGCTTTTTAACATCCGTACTATCATATGTTTTGACTGAAGGACCACCTTCAACACTGTCGGGCCACTTCCTTTGTAGTTCTGTGAGGAACGCAGTCGTGACACGGATTTCGCTAACACAACATCCAACCGGAGTGTTTCACGAATATAACACCTCTGTCCTTTATCATGGGTTGTTATTTCATGCTCATTACATGCTTCAGTTTCAGGAACCCCGTGAAGAAGTATGGTTCTGGTTGAAGTTTCCTTCTGGTAGTCTTCTAAGTTGCGGTGAAATCGATAACGCTCGCCCCATGGGATGTCTGGAAAGATACGGATGGAGCAGTGTTCAATTCTGAGACTACCTGTCGACAGTAGTACTGATTCTACTTCAGTGATGGAGTTCAGCACAACACGCAGAAGTCTTGGCTCTCCGAAATTTTTAGAGTTGGGGTGTCGTGCAATACGCTTTACGTGTACAGATTTCAGTACAACTCCGATTAGGTTACTAATAATGTCCCATTGATTGAGGTCGTCCAACTGCCTGCCTCTTATCGATGTCGACTTTGATTCTGGGATATTGGAGCACAGTACGCTCAGTACAGGTAGCCGTTTTTTAAACCTTTCGACATGTCGATGTTAGTGATTGAAGTACTCGGAGATGTACCGCAGGAAACCGGTGGTGTTTGCACTAGGAAAACTCCGCTATACTTCTCAGTTTCTGATCCAGTTGGAGTGATGTTGCTTTTAAATGACGGATCTTCTTGGAGGCAACCGTAACCCAACTTGCGGTCGTAACGGCTTGCTCTTTTTCTACGCACTCCGTCGGGAGTTTGGAAGTAGCCTTACGTGTAGTTACTCCGATCGAACTGGGAACCGCTTTAGTCAAATGAGAGATACGTGTGGTATTGGGACAGCTGTTGATGTTCTGGACTCTAGGTGTCGTGTTGCTTACGGTGTTATTAATAGTTCTTCACGGGTTAGGAGAGCCACATACGGGGAGGATTGGGTTGCACAGTCTGCTACGCTTACCTCAATCCCAGTGGTTTTGGTGGTCACCATTTCCTCAAACTTGGCTAGTAGCTGGTCATACTTCTGAGATAATAGGGGCACGCTTTTTATCAGTGTGCATCCCACACAGAACCATAGCGCGTCTTGTTTGTTTAATAACTTGGTCTGACTAGGTTTAACTCGGAGGCAGCTCGCATGGAAGAACTTGCAACAGTTACGGCACAAAATGCCCCCTTAACAAGTTGGGAACATGATCCACATAGGTCTTTATTCTGTGGCACGCCGGGCATCACGCTTGTTGAGCAAATGTTACGAACCATTTGCTTGACTCACCTTCTATGGTAAAAGTGGTTCTGTTATTGACGTTGTCGGTAAGTTCACAGTGTTCACGTTGCAGTTGTGTACTTGTAGACTGTCCTCTCTGGCGTGCCAGTTGAATGTGTCGGCTTGAACATGGGGCAGAATACACGAAGACGTGATTGAGCATTTTCGTGGTTAAGCCTATGGATTGCGCCGGGTGAATTTGCTTGGAGACCTGTAGCTGCACCAAGCAATGTTGGATTTGAACGAGTGACAATTCGTTCGAAAGCCGTTGAAATAATCTATCGAGTGAGACCAAACAAAGTCTCCGACGTTTGGAGTTAGACAACTTTTAGCGCTTGGATATCGGTGAAACACCGCCCAGAAGTTAGAAATCAGGGTAAATGTAAGATGCACTGGAGTATACTCAGGAAACTGTTAGCACAAAGTAGAGCTTGTAAAAGCACAACGAATGAGTATGGATCCAAAGGTGTGCGACGAAATGTCGCTGAACCACAGTTGAAAAATCACGAGTGCACAAGTGAGCAATTAGCACGCAACTTCTCTCAAGGTCACCAACCTTTAGTTTAGTAATAGAAGCCTAACCAGATGGATGGTGCACTCTCCCAGCTATTGTTATCTCTAACAAAGCAAGATTTGCAATTACTCGTTGTCATTTCAGGTGATGCAGATTTTCCACGGAGTCCACCAAAACTACTCTTTTGGGTACTATAAATGCAAAATGACTCACGTCTCATCAATCCTTGTCATAAATGCGCTCAATTTCTGAGTCATTTATCCATGTGGTATCGATTAACTTGTCGGAATAGAAAACAGGTAACTACGGATATGGCAGAAAATTGGGTAATAGGTGTCTACTTTTAGTGCGGAAACTAAAGCAGCGAACGATGTTTATATACTTATCTGTATTACACGACACTTAAGGAGTGTAACTGTTTGGAATGCTGGAATCAGGCAGTGGAAATTAGTTGCAGGAAAATGATGTAATAGGCACTTGACTCAACACTTAACGTATATCTTTTGGAGTTGGACAAATTAGTGCGTACATATTTATGAACTATCGAGTGATTCTACTTTGGCCCGCTTGTATAAAACGTGCAATTGACCAATCTACCGAGATAAAAAGACTGACATAAGTATAGTGAATATTGTTTTGCTTTCCAATGGTTACACTGTCTATAAGTTCACATGCTATCATGGACAACTAGATAGCAACTGCGCCGTAGGATAGCATTAATCAAGACTGCAACAACGCAGGGATATTGTCTGAACACTGTAACTTCGTGTGAAATAAGTAAAGTCAAGAGGAGAGAATGCTAACACTATCTTTTCAGTACGTTTTAAAGACCATATACAGTTATTGAATGCCAGGCGTCGCGCCCTAGAAAACACTGCCCTCCGCTGCCGATTGCGAACTATTTCACTTCATCGCCTGCAAAGCAAGCCTCGAAAAGGGGACCATTGGGATTGTGGCCGAAAACTGTGCCCCTAAGAAAAGCTTCTTACAACGGTTAGTGATTGTTTAGAGGATCATTTTGGAGCATCCTTTGTGTGAATGGATTGCGACATAAAATCTCCATACGGCTCACTACGCTAGTTCTGTTGATCCGCGTAATGTTGGCACTCAGAGTTTGCGATGAATACGATTGTCAATTCACCTGTGATTCTTCCTGCTTAGCATTTGGTGTAAGCTGACGCTACCAATGCGTGCATTGTTTAACTTAACTATGGAGAGACGTAGGCATTTCAATTGTGTAACTACTCGGGTAAGTTATCAGCTAAACAACGGACCCGAGCTGATGGAAGTTTAAGAATATTTCGAGCCTGTTATCAGCTACGCAGCAAATTACAATGACCAAGTAACAGATAAGTCAAACACCAATGGTAAGTGTGAGTAATCGGACTGGGGCCCTTTCGTCCTGGTGTGTGAATACCTGTTTGCCTTTCACTGGGACAACCCGTCTGCAACATTGCACAGGCTCAACCTAAGAGGTTTGTCCATTTAAGTTCCGCATAAAATCATACCATGGTTCGCAACCCAAAGAGGATTTCAAGTAACCTTTTACGCTTTTTCTGTTTTGCATAGTTTCACCGCATCGAAATTTCTTGGACTCATACGCATTTCCAGAGGAGGGCTATAACAACCCAGACTACTTGCCATTCCAGGATAAACAAACCGACATACACGATCAGAATGTTTGGTGGCACCGTTCACCAGTGAGGCTGCCTGGAGCGTCGAATGTTGAAAGCCCTTTGGGGGCTGGAGTAAACTGTTCGGCAGCCAACAGAGACTGGCCCTCTTCTTCGTTTTTACAAAATTATCTTCCCCCTTTCCAGCCGCCAACCCCTAAGGATCTTCATCCGCAACTGCCTTACTTTATGTGCAAGCATTTCCCAAATGAGATTCACGCAGCTGCTGCCGCTGTGCTGGCGCTAAAAGGTGGAAGTGTGGATCCTTCAGAGAACAGTGGTGGTAACTTTCCGTCGGACCGATTCGCAATCGATGCTTCGAACTTTCAGACATCACCTTCAAATTCCACTGCATTCCATAGTGCCAGCTCAGATGGTTATACTGGAAGGTACAACCAAACTGATTATCGTTCGCCTGCGAAAGATAAACATTGCGGTAAGCTCTGAGGAGAATTACCATCCTGCTTTATGTGTTTTAAAATTTCCCTGAGACAAAGTAGTGCTCTTTGTGAAATAAGCAGCCTCACTAGCTGATGAGACAGATGAAAATTGAGTGTTACTCACCCGAAACACCATTCCGTGACGCGTTTCGAACTTATTTGATCTCAATAGTTGGAGATAACGGGAAACGAGACCGGGGGTTAGAGTTGTATGGGTCCCTTTAAGTACCTCAATGGTTCCATCTTCGAAGCTTGCTACCTCTACCTAGTACGATCAAATAAGTTAGAATAAGAGTGTATAGTGCAATGTTTTCGGGTAGACAGCATACAATATTCATCTACTTTGACGGTTGCCATCCCAGTAATCGATCTCACCAAGGCCCCCTTCAACGACATTCCAATAAGATTAACTAACTGTACAAACCGCGCTTGCGTAACAGGCAAACGGATAACGAGAATACTCAGGTTTAGAAGTTAGGATAAAATGTTGTCCGTGGTGAGTTCAATATATTACGGGTTAAATAAGTTAAAACAGGTTGACAATTTTGGTTGATTAAGGTCAGTTATGACATCCATTGACAATATGGTCCTGTAATATTTCTCTACGCTTAGGAACTGTAAGTTAACAGTAAGTAATTTTATTCACCAGGCTATCGTTAAGTAGCAGCCCCAGAAAATATGATTTGTCATAGGAATATAAATAAAAAGCCTAGTAAATTATCAAAACTGAATAAATACATGTTCCTACCACCGCAGTATTGGTGACGATCGAAGATCTAGCGGGTAGGACCCGAACTACGGGAAAGGACCTGACCTTTTACACGAAGGCTCGGAGGTTATTTGGGCTAAAGCCATTATACAACCAATGAGTAGCCGTTTAATTGCCATTTTCTATTGAAGGGTGGCTGCTAATCACGTCGGGCATTTAGTTTCAGTCAAACTGGACCCAACCAAGTTTCTGCGATATAATGAACAGCATTGCTGGATTGATGGTCGTCATCATCAAGCTACACCTCAGCTATCGTATCGCAATAAAAATCATTCAGTTGGCAGTAAGAAAGACTGTACTTGTTTTTACTCCACATCAGTAATGCGACTGTGGTTGCAGAGGAAGTTGAAGCGGAAAATTTCTAAAAGCGAATCTCACAACATAACCACCACTATGATCGGCACTTATACACATCAAAAATATCTCTAAGAAATGTGTTCAATGTCTTTGAAATATCAACCAATGTGTTATAATACATGAACCGATGAGAAATACTGCTGAGACCTCCTCCTCTTCTTTAATTCAGGCCCCGATCACACAAACAACGCACGTCGTCTGATTCGGTGTGTTAACATGTGTGACGCAGGACCCAACCACCGGATCGTGTTACGTGAAATAACAGGGCTGAAAACTTCAGCTTAATTTCTAGGCTATAAAAACACTGTGAATCATGCCCTGCTCATGTGACCTTCCCATCCGATATGGGCTAGACCATTGGATATTCGGCAATCGGAATCTGGTGATATAATAAGCTTTTTCGCGACCTACATTAGGTTTGAACAGAAGACTGTAGTGTAGATTCTTTATTCAAAGAAAACCGTAATACCATGCTAATGGCACAAGTAGTGTAGTTGAGTACAGGAAACACGAGGTTTGACCTTGATATTTGTGACTTCACCTGCTGTGCCACAGGTGTTGATAAAACTGACCATGTAGTCGAATAGCTGAATGCCCCCTAGTTAATCTCCAGAATAGATCAGCCCAGAGGATGAGACCTTTCAATCCTAGAGGAAAGCTTTGCATTTGGAGGGTGTTAAGAAGCTACCGAAAAGATTTACAGTCAGTTCCAATCTCTCTAGTGCGGTGTGGTAGAGTTGTACGCTGTCAGAGATTACCGCAATATCACCGACTTACTCCGAATTCCATCAGCTGAAGGTAACTATGCACTTTTGAGTTGGCCCATGTGAAGGCACTTTCCATACAATCGTCAAAAGCAAAATTAGAAAGGAATGGTGACAGCAGGCATCCATGTCTCAAATTGCTAGATCTATCGAAGGGTGGTGGTTGTTTACAATAAGTCCAAACACTGCCAGAGGTACACGTATATTACGCTCTTATACTTTTCATACACTTCAAGGATTCATTTTTTCTATTTAGGCTGTTTCTTAGAATATACTGGGCAACCGAGTGGAAGAAATTTGATTATAATAAATAAGTACTAGGTGTGCCAACAACTGACGTAAGGTGAAGATATGATCAATATAGCTTTGAAGAAATTTCCTCCTTCATTACGAATCCTATGCCCAGGAGCGTACAAAAGTAGACATCTTAATGACGATGGTTACGTGGCTTTATTCAATCTCAGAACCTTTAACTCACGTTCGAATTCTGCTTGCAAGGGCGGAGCAAATGTAGCTCTCTCGGGAGCTGGACTGTCGCTGAACGGTAAAGAAGTAGATGGCTTTTCAAGGTCTTAAATTTAACGCACGCGGTTTCGATAACATCGGACCCACTATCAGTCGATTGTATATGAAGAGAAAAATCTTTCGATAGTTAAAAGCAGTGGCCGTTTCATTTTTGACGCAAAATGAAATGCGCTCGGCTTTACCATAGTCAACTGTCAATCATGCAGATCTGTGGCCGTCACCCATGACTTAGTGGCACTAACTGCTGTAAGTCATGGGGTCGGAACCCGACAGGGATTCAAGGAGGGCACACCACTGACGAGACCCAGAAGATCGAAACAGCGCTGTCTGGTGCTTTTCTATATGTGCCAAGCCTGTTGACTGAGCGATCACTGTGAGGAATTTCCTCTGAATAATACCATCGTTTATGGCTGTTTTACAGGAGTGTGCGTAAATTTACCATGAGATCTTTGGGAATGGCGCTGTATTTACCGGCGGCGGATTTGTTGGCGAGTGTCGAATACCTCAAGAAGCGATGTAGTGGCCTGTGGTCCAGGTTGACAAATGGTTGTGCCTCACGAAGACGCACCCTACGCTACAACGCCTGGCGAGCTGTGTTCACATACAGGTCGGAGTATTTTCTTGCACATCCAAGAATGACGGTTTCGGCGGTTGGCTGGTAGCTATGCCCTCACAGTGTCGTCGCTGGAGTTCGCTGAATGGCACCCGGGGATCAACAGATGATAGTGCACAGCCGGATTCTACACTCGTACTATAAAGCGAGCGGGAGTTAAGACGCGGCCTCTTTAACGGTAACTGATTGTGATATGATGCATTCGCTTCCACGGTTAGTTTTAGGCCAGTAACACCTAGGCGGCTGTGCGGTGGGTTGTTTGTAGGAACTTCGTGCTAGCGAGAAATGAGGGAACCATTTGCACAAATGTAGCTCCGTTAGCATTACTGGAACCTAATCACTGCTGGTCACCTGGATACCGCTCATTGTTCGATAGGTTTGTGACTTGATCTTGCAGATCACCAAGTTGCACTATAGTATTTTCAGTCCCTCCGTGATGAAAATGCTCGTTTAGTTGAGAAGCGACGTCACCGTTCACAGTAAGAATGCTACAATGTCACAGGGAATAGCTGCAACTTTTACAAACTTTTGAGTACTATCAGTCCGTCAACATGGTCAATATTTGTCGGGAGTGAAAGGATTCATGAACAATACTGGCATATATTCTAGTCTTTAACAAATCGAGGGATCGTCTAACCGCTCTAATCTCCCACGGTCAGGAAATGTGGTGCACAAGCTTAAATATGATACCGACATAATTACTCTAACATCATTGACATCTAAATCGCCAACACGCTGGTGAAGCAAGACAAGGTCTATAGTCATAAAGGTATTGTCATGGTGCTGAAGAAGTACAATAGGGTCACATCAGTCATTGGCCTAGCTATTCTTTTAGGCAATTAACTAAGGGAAGATTTGTCTTTGACTTGGCCTATACAACATCACAACAATATGTAATACGCAATGAAATATATCTCGTAAGATTATCAACTAATGGTTCATTCCTTCACCAATTGCGTCTAAAATTGTACTGTTGCGATTATCTGTTTAATTGGACAGCCAAAACAATGAAAGGCGATCTTCCTTTTGCAAAAATACTTGCACTCTTTGCACTGCTTTGAAGCCTAAATAGAATGCGCGATATAGCTTTGTTGCTAGTGTTATGTAAATGTCTATGGGGCTTTTTATTATTTGATAACATACTAGAAGCAGCTGCCACCTGCTTACGTCATAGTTACTCCAGGGACTCTGGTGTGCCAGCTGATAATGCGGAAACAATACATACATGGAATTGTGAGGTCCATCGCAGCCAGTTTCCAAATCAGATAGTCGTCCACATGCCTGGAAAAGCACTAGACTGCAGTTTCAGCCTGTTGGGCATCGTCAGTAGTGCGCATCCATCGGATCCGTCAGGATTCGAACCCATGACCACCGGCGGCTTGAACCGCCAGTCAGCAGCTTATGCCTCTGGGCCACGGGGGACAGCTTCGGACCGTCATGATTTACAAGCTAACTGCGATATAGCGCGTCTTATCCTCCACTGCCATGCAAGTTACGAACGTTGCAGAGGACAGGGTTGGTCCCGAAAGACACGACGTCCACTAAACTGGCTGCGATGGACCTCACATAATTACACCAAAATCCCCTACTCATGAGTACATCAAATTATATCCGCCCTGACAGTTTGTAAATGCTATGTCGTACATGGCTACTGTTAGTGGATGTCGTGTCTTTCGGGGCCAACCCTGTCCTCTGCAACGTTCGTAACTTGCATGGCAGTGGAGGATAAGACGCGCTATATCGCAGTTAGCTTGTAAATCATGACGGTCCGAAGCTGTCCCCCGTGGCCCAGAGGCATAAGCTGCTGACTGGCGGTTCAAGCCGCCGGTGGTCATGGGTTCGAATCCTGACGGATCCGATGGATGCGCACTACTGACGATGCCCAACAGGCTGAAACTGCAGTCTAGTGCTTTTCCAGGCATGTGGACGACGATGTGATTTGGAAACTGGCTGCGATGGACCTCACAT